GTGGGTCACCACGTTTATAGGGCACAGGGGCCGGAAATCCTTCCTCCTCTGCCCAAACCTCATCCCTCACCCACAAAAACAGTAGGGTCGGCTTACTCCATAGGCTGGTGTGTTTGTACCTATTGCTGACATGTACAGACATATTAATGACATTCGATCATACACACTGGGACGGGTTGGATCACAGAAACCCTCTTGGGAGCTGCCAACGGATGTGCCAGGACTACTTCTGCCCCTGCTTTCCTGCCAGCTCGGGACTTCAGTACCCTGCCCGGTTTGAGCCAGACCCGCTAGCCTGCCGCAAACCCAGACCCAGGTCTGAACTAGGTCCCCTAACAGCTGCAGGTTTACCTGAAAGCAGCTCACAGAAGCGTTCCTGTCTTTAGCACTCAGATGCCCAACTCCTAATGGGGTCTAAACCCAAATAAATCCGTTTTACCCTGTATAAAGCGTATACAGGGTAAACTCATAAATTGTTCGCCCTCTATAACACTGATAGAGAGATATGCACAGCTGTTTGCCCCCCCCCCAGGTATTAACACATACTCTGAGTTAATTAATAAGTAAAAAGTGATTTTGTTAAATACAGAAAGTAGGATTTAAGTAGTTCCAAGTAATAGCAGGCAGAACAAAGTGAATTACCAAGCAAAATAAAATAAAATGCGCAAATCTATGTCTAATCAAACCGAATACAGATACTGAAGTATCTCTGAGGATGAGATTAAGTTTTTCCCTCAGACTGGACACCTTCCTAGTCTGGGCACAATTCTTTCCCCTGGTACAGCCCTTGTTCCAGCTCAGGTGGTAGCTAGGGGATTTCTCAAGATGGCTCCTCTCTCCCCCTTTGTTCTGTTCCACCCCTTTATATATCTTTTGCATAAGGCGGGAATCCTTTGTCCCTCTCTGGGTTCCCACCCCCCCTTCTCACTGGAAAAGCACCAGGTTAAAGATGGATTCCAGTTCAGGTGACATGATCATGTGTCACTGCAAGACTTCATTGCCCACTTGCCAGCACACACGTATACAGGAAGACTTATAGGTAAACATAGCCATCTGCAAACAATGGTCCTGGTTATCATCAAGTCATCAAGATTCCAAACCACCATTAATGGCCCCCACTTTGCATAATTACAATAGGCCCTCAGAGTTATATTTCATATTTCTAGTCCCAGATACAAGAGTGGTACATTTATACAAATAGGATGACCACACTCAGTACATTATAAGCTTTGTAATGATACCTTACAAGAGACCTTTTGCATGAAGCATTCCAGTTACATCATATTCACCCATTAGCATATTTTTATAAAATCATACGGAGTGCAATGTCACACACACACACACACACACCTGTTATTTTGGTTCTCCGGTTCTTCCCTGGTGGTACCTGTTAAGTTTGTGGGTGCAGATTTGGAACCCCCCTATGCCATTCTCCCGTTATCTATCTCTCTAGGTGGAAGGTCCCAGACATAGATACGCTAAATTTGTCTTACCTCAACATCCCAGATCTGGCCTGTAGGTCCCTTGCATTACAGCCAAACTTACTGTAAGTGTTTGGTTTATTGTAATAGGTTTATCGATTTATATTAAACTATAAGAGATATCTGTGCAAGCAAACAGGGTAATCCTATAGGCTACAGTGATAAGTCCTGTGTTGCTGCCAGCTTCTGCCCCCAAGGGGCAGGGAGTTTGTTTATAACCAGAGGCAGGGTGATTAAGATCACAAGGCTTGTCATTAAATTAAATTAAGGATCGTTAGATGATCCCGAAGGCACTGCCAGGCACTCCAGTTAAAATATAAGAAACAGGGTAGGAATAAACGGTTGGTTTTCAGACTGGAGAGAGGTAAATCGTGGTGTTCCCCGGGGGTCGGTACTGGGACCAGTTGTGTTCAACATACTCATAAATGATCTGGAAAAAGGGGTAAACAGTGAGGTGGCAACATCTGCAGATGATACAAAACTACTCAAGATAGTTAAGTCCCAGGCAGACTGGGAAGAGTTACAAAGGGTGACCCTATGGACAACTGGAGAACTGGGGGTCTGGGCCTCCTCTGACCCCCATCCCTTGGTGACTCTTTGGAGCCCCTGTACCCCCTCCCACACTCTGAACTGGGTTACCCCCTCCCCACGCGGGTTTCTGTCCGGGCTCATATGTCACCTTCCCTAACATGAACCAGACGGTCGTCTCCACGAAGGTCCAGTTGAAGAATGCTCTTGCCAAGTGAAGTCTCCCGAAAAGGTTCATGAGTAAGTGGCTCCCTTCAGACTCAAGGCACCCACTCTGACTAACGCCGGTCGGCTGCTCGCCTCCCTGCATTATATGCAGATGTTTACCCTATTCTGATTGGTTCTTTCTTCAATCCTCATCATTAAGATACTGATCCACCAGTCATCTTAAGCCTTCCCTGATTGGTCTGTTCTTAGGAACCAATCCTAGCTTTTAAACTCACCTGTCAATCAAAGCTGGACCTGATTGAAGACTTGGGAGGGGGTCAGTTGAGCATGACCCTTCGGGTTTTGGAGTGACCCTTCTCTCACCTCACCCGCCTATTTGCGATTGGCCGAATCGCTCCAAGACCATCATTTTCGTTTCCCAGCGACTGCCATCTTGTCACCCCCGGCTGTAAACTGCTAAAAACGGCCTTTCTGAATGATTCGACTACGGACAATGATTTACACCTCTTAACGTTATGATTCCCTGTCTCACCACTCCCGGATTTATTCGTTTAAATACATTTAATTCCGATCTCCCTCTTGCTTCAGCTAGCGGGGTCCGGGCGATACTCTTCCAGCTGCGTTCTTGACGCAGAACGGAGCTGCCGAACCGTCACTCGTATCAGTGACGGGCGGCCGTTTCAAATGGTCCCTCCATTCAAAGTCCAGCAATTTCGTGTTTAGTCATGAAATGCCCGCCCCGGAGAGGTAGAAGGAGGAATAAACCCCTTCTCTACACTCTCACCGAGGTATTCCTCACACATCCCAAGAGGGAGGAAATACAGCTAAAGGGAACATGGCGCTACAGGTTGATGGATCAATCACAACCGGCGGCAAGATCTCGATTTCCTTTTGTCACACATCAGCACGGTCTCGGTATTTCTCCAGAACACCCAGCGTGGACGGAGGGGCGAGGGACAGGGTGGTATCTACCTTTGAAGTCAGCCGCCGGGCCTGATCCCCCTTGGATGCGTGGGTCCTGGCCGACCCGCCAAGGAATGCCGAGGATGACGGGGAATTGGCGGGGTGCAGATCAGTCCAAATAGCGATGCCTCCCAGGGGCCCTGGAGCGGGGTCACAGCCACGGGGGGTGGCATTTGAATGGTAACTGGGCCTGGGGAAAGGGATTCCACCGAGGCGGGGATGCGCTTACGCGGAGTGGGAATGTTACGGCGTCCAAGCAACGTCGAGGTCCAGGAAGTTCTCAGAGGCCCCTGAGTCCACCAGCTCCACTTCGGGCACGGTGGGAAGTCGTAAGCAAAGAGGAAGCGGGCGGCTCACGGCCCTACCTTGGCTGGGGTAGAGGTCGGCCCAAGGGGGTTCCCAACCGGGGCAGGACACGGGTCTTAATGGACGTCGTGAGCGTCTCCCCAATATAGGCAGATGTCGAAGACTCATTGCCAGCTCTTTTCTGCATCTCTACGGCCGGGTTGACTCCGGTGCGGGTCAAACACTGGCCTGCCTTTCTGGTTGGCGGTGGGCCAGGCGATCGTCGATGTTGAGGCCTGGCTGGACCAGGGCGTCTAGGGCGGAGTGTGGCTCTACCCGGGCCAGGCCGTCCTTCATTTCTTCCTTCAAGCCCTGCCTGCAATGGTGGCGCCGGGCCACCTCATACCATCCAGTGTTGGCCGCTAAGCTCCTCACCAGCAGCGCCCCAGATGCAGCCGCAGCGCGCCCTGCAGGTGCATGCCCAGGTAGCGGGTGAACTCGTCGGGCATGACGTGAACGCCCGGCTTGGGGGGCTGGTTGTCGTAGTAGTGGTGGGACAGGGGCCGCCCCTCGGTGTCCGTGGCGAAGGGCCAGAAGCCGTAGAGGGTGAGGTGCCGGCACAGCTCCAGGGCGGCGTTCACTAGCATGAAGCCCGAGGAGAGGCGGTTGACGCGCAGGCCACGGGGATGCCAGTACCCGTCCAGCCGTGCCAGGTACTCGGGGTTCATGAAGACGACACGGGCCCGGGAGCCGAAGTCCTCTAGGGCGTAGAGTGCCTGGAACGAGACCGTGCTCTGGCCGACAAAGCTGAAGGCCGGGATGAGGAGCAGTGGGGCCCCATAGACACCCACCACCTCCGCGAAGGGCCGGCGCCAGCGGCTCAGACCCCTGAACCTGCGGGCAGGGAAAGACGCCCGTCAGACGCTGTCCTGGACGGCCCATCCCCCAGCGCCAGTCCAGTTCCCTCCCACGGCCGTCCCATCTCTCAGTCTCCTCTGCCCCAATCCCACGGTGACCCTATGGCCAACCGGAGAGCTGGGGGGCTGGGACTTCTCTGCCCCCGATTCCCCGGTGACC